GAATTTCTTATTTCCAACGGAAGAAGATAACCACTAAATTTTAAATTTTTTTTATTTTGGTGGCACAATCATATACAAACATTTTTCATCTTTTATCTCATTCTACACGCATGTCATATAATTCAAATTTAAAATTTTTTACTTTCAATATAAAGAGATAATTATTAAATTACTTAAATAGTTGATTATATAATTTTAATTGTTAAATAAAAAATTATTAATTTAAAATTTTTTTAATAATATTTATTTTACAATTTTATACTGTCCAGATTACAAAACCTATCTTCAAAATCAATTTATAAATTGCGGTCGGCCGATAAAAAAGAAAAAAGAAGTTAGGTGCATAACGCTATTTTATGTGGGAACACGTCGATTGTCTAATTCTTAGGGAGGTAATAAGGGATGAAAAGTAAAGTAAAGAGGAAATGTAAAAAAGAAAAGAAAAAAATTTTTAAAAATAATTTCATTCAAAATTCCCAAAAGAAGAAAAATGGGAAAAATGGAAAAACTATGTAAATAAAAATGTCAATTTTATATTTTTTTATTTGAAAATGTTTCTAAATAAAAATATTAACTTTCAAATTTTTTATTTAAAAATATCAATTTTTAATTTTTTTTATTTAAAAATACCAACTTTCAACATTTTGATTAAAAAATTTATTTGTCACATTAGTATTATCATTTATTTAATTCTTAAATAAAAAAATTAAAAATTACTATCCTTAAATAAAAAAAGTTAAATATTAATATCTATAAATAAAAAAATAAAAATTAATATTATTATTCAAAAACTAACAAAATTAATATCTTTAAATAAAAAAATATAAAATTGACATATTTATTCACACCTTTTCTCAAGAAAAATGTTTGTGGAATTATTATATATTCTAAATAAATTATATTTATGTATAGATTTATTTAAAATATTTAAAAAATTTTATTATTATTTTGAGTATGATATATATATATATATATTTGAATGAGTTTACATTAGAGGTGGAGGGAGTTCAATCTCAACTCTTAAATTGGGAAATGTATTTTACAACCGGACTTATAATTGTTGAGTGTGAAATCCAATTACATTTGAAGCATGATATTTTAATTATCACACATATTAAATTTTTAGAATCCCATTAGTTATTTATAATCAATATAAATATTAAAGTCACCAACTCTTCTTTAAAATTGGGCTCAACAATTTTTTTTTTTTTTGGTTGACGGTTAGTAAATAATCATGTCCCAAGAAAAGGTAAGAAAAATAATTTACTCACAATATATATTTGGATTAATTGTTTATATATAATTAATAGTTGATGATTAATAATTATTTTTTTAATTTAAAATATCTAAATCATTTAATTAGAATTAACAACTAATAATTGTTTTTAAAATATCAAAATGAAGACTCCCAATGTTGTTTATGATGCGTGAAACAGGTTTATGATGCGTGAAACAGGAATGCAATTCTAATATTTTTTTAAATGCAATAATTGAAGAACTTTATCAACTTTAATTAGGAGCAATTCACACATTCAATTGTTTATATACTTTACTACTATTATTTCTTTTCTTTTATTCTTTCTTTAATATTGTTGGAAAGCCCTACCTTCAAGAAGGGGCGATTAGAGTTCTATATTTTAAGTTTCACTTTCTCCAATTGAATTGAACAAATTATTTTGTATGGATGGTAAATTCATATTCTAATGCAGTATATTTTATTTGGCTATAATTAAAAGGAAAGAAAGAAAGAAAAAAAGATTCCTTTCCAACAACACTTAAATAAACCAATAATATTAATTGTTTTGTAACTTTCTCATTTTTTAACTCATTTTACTTAGATATAGAAAAACGAAAGAAAAATTAACTCATTTTACTCACTCTACTTGAAAAAAGGATTATTATTCGGTATTTGGGTTGTTGGCTTATGTTTTTATCTATTAATTGTGCATGTTGGTGGCCATATGGACTTCAATACTCAATTAGTAATAGCACTTAACGTGTGAATTTGAACTTGAACGCGATTTGATGGTAACACAATTGACTTTATCTTTTTTCAAGTAATGTAAAAGGTCAATATCTTCACATTTAAGATGTCAAAACGTTTAATTATAGTTATTAAATATGTGAGATATAAACACTTGACCTTTCGGGTTAACTGGCAGCCTGCCAACTTGAGGTGTATTCCTCCTCTTCCATGGACGGGTTTTGAATCCATCCCTTGATAACTTGTTTAAAAATAAAACTGAGATATAGTATAGATTCTGATTTTATTAAATTTATTATGAGATTATTATTAGATGTCATGACATTTTAAATATTAGGACATTTTAATTTTTTTTGCATATATATTTATATGGGTAAGATCTTATTCATTGTGTCTTTTTTTTTTGGGAGGGGTGGGGGGACCTCAAATTTTTTGGTCATTTCAACAATCTTAGACCAAAGAGTGGGACAGTTCATATACCACTCAATCTAGTGAGATTTTATTGTATTTTATTTGCATTCTTATCTAGATCTTATCATACTCGTATGATGTTGCATTTAATGATATAACAAAAAAGAAATTAATAAAAAATCTGGACTGAAATTTAACTCGTCTAGAGTTGCCACTTTTTCACTCATTTAACTTTCATTTCTAAAGTTTATTTTAAGGGTTAGAAGCGAAAACTCCCAACTTGTTGCTTGTTGAGCGGATCTTCCATTGTTAAGTTCATAAAATTTGATGATTTTAATGATTTAATACTTTTATAAACAGAAGTTCTACAAGAATTACAACCATGTCATACAAGCTCTAAGAAGTGAGAGAATATACATTAAAAAAACATTATGGTTGACCAAATACCAAGTAATATTTTGAGATTTGGGATCACTCAAAACATAAAATGCAACTTTAAGGGAAGTAATATAATTAAATTGATAATAAGAAAGGAGATTTACATGTTAAAAAAATAATAATACCATAATTATAATATCATATAAAATTATAAGATTATAATTATGATATAATATTAGATGGGTATATATAACGTGATATTAAACGAATAGATATATATAATATTACAGGTAAATTTTTAAATAAAAAAACTAATTATATAATAATACATTATGCTATAAGATTCCAATATATGCTACATGACATTATAATTTCAGCACATCTAAAAAAAAAATGTTTAATAGTTTATATTATATTGAACTATAAAACATTAGTTATTAGATGATAAGATGTCTTTTAATAACAGGTGAGGCTCCCTTCTTGATCCAATTACAAAATACTAAACTTATACTGATTCGTGTGAAGAAAACATTGTTTTTTTCCTTTCATCGTATATGCAGATCAGATCTTAAACTCGGTTGAACTGAGGTCCTGCCATATGGCATTATGCATGTGATAAGTTTTAATTCGATGTATACTTAGGAAGAAATCCAAGGAATCTACGAGAGATTAAAATTTTTTTGCAGATTTGCTAACAGCATGCCAATTCTCGTAAACATAATTCAAAGATTAATTTTTGTGATTTTGGGATGCCAAATCTCGGTTTCTTAAAGCTCTTCTCTCTAAATTTTACGTACGATAATCAGCAGTAATCACACCCATTTCTCCAATGCAATTGCCATCTTTCTTCCCTTCACCCATCAAGGCATTGTTGGAGTAGTAGTTAAGAATATGATTACGCTTTCTTGAATTTTTTGCATAAATATTGTTTTGAATTTTTGAATAGAGAGTCGAAAAGTGTGAAAATTATACATGTGGGTTCAATACAAAACTTGCATCCAACTTAAAATCAATTGACAATAGTTGTAGTGGCTTTTCTTGTATTTAACCCATAAACTTGTTATTTTTATCCTCGATGTAGGATTTTTCATTTAACACGCACCTTCAACTTCAGGTTCTATCAAGTAGATTAACAATGAGCTTTCCATAACAGAATTTGGACTCGATACCCTATAAAAATTGTGCATGTGAGTTCAATACAAGACTTGCATCCAACCTGAAACCGATTGACAAAAGATAGAGTAGCTTTCTTTGTATTTAACCCACAACAAAAAGAACCCAAGAGAGATGGCAATGCTTTATTGGAGGATAATCTCTGTCTATTAATCAAGACCCTGAGACTACAAACGAGCTGAGACCAACTCCACCCTTTGTGAGTTTGAATTTCACTCTAGTAAATTTATGCATACTTGAGTTCAAAAATGGGTGCAAACAAATTTGAGCTCTAGTTAATGTCGAGCTTGAGCTCAAGTCGAGTTTGAACTCAAATTTGAGAGCTCAGTTTGTCTTATAGCTCTAGCCAAGGCCAAGGCAGTTGCAAACTAACCATTAATATGGTCCCAAGCAGGAATATGAATGGTTTTTTGGTAGTGTGTTAATTGTTATTCATTCAGTAATTGAAACCTGAAATAAATTCAGTGCTAATATTTTATTACTGTGTCAGGAAAATATGGCAAGCAAATTAAGTGGGAAAACGACCGTTACTCAAGCGTCATTAATTTCAATAAGAGCAAGCCACATGATGCTCAACTGTTTGACAAAATAACTTACCGAGTTGCTGCCACATATTGAAGATTGAACAAAACATGACTAGCCATCATAAAGTCTCAAGAACCCTAAATGCTAATTTTGACTATCTGGTAGGTGTTAGATTGTACCTTTGGCCCCAGAAAGATGGACCCATCCAAAAGGTAAGAATGAAAGACAATGGATCAATGTCCTTCGAAAAAGAACAATCAAATGATTTAAACATACTTCAATAAATTGCTATTTGTTCCCATTGGTTTGGGATGGTTCCACTTTGCCTCCATGTTTGGAAAAGTATCCAAAAACAATGTCCAAAGATTTTCTTATCTTTTGGGGGGGTGGGGGAGTATGTTGGGTTCCAACACTGAACTCTGCAGTACCAGTGAATAAGAGTCAGGTGACATTGTCACCCGCTCCACCATTCATGTGGGTGGAATCTACTAAGTTTGTTCCTTTAGGTACGGTATGTCATAATGTCATCATTGGACCAACGGATATCCTTTCTCGTTGAAACAACAAAGTATGGTATGTTCAACAGTTGAAGTGACTTAATGTTAATGCCACATCAAATGGTATGGTGAAAGAACTTAAGGGCATATCACATAGTTCAAAAGGAAGTCAAGCATCATATAATGATCCCTGCTGTTACTGAAAACTATGTACCCCCAACATAAACAAGTATAGCTGCAGAAGAAACAAACGTCATACATACACTTGACCATCAAAGACATAACCACAACTGTAAATGGTACCTTTCAAAAACATGGAGGCTTCAAGAGAACTAAAGGGAAAAATGCAGTAGGGTATGGATAGGATAAAACAACCACTTAAATCTATTCAAGAATGGAATAAGAGACTATGAAAGTCATATTTAATTATCAAAAATTCATCAAGAATCCTCAAGACATTGGATAAATGCATAATTGGTTTAAGAATTGATCTAGGGGAGAAGAGATTATGAAGTCTTTCTTCATGCCCATAGCCACTGCACAAACTTACCAAGGGTCCAGGTACTCAGGGCCATACATCATTTGTATTAAGAAATCCTAACACTACTCAACTGGGTAACCAGAGAATGCTCTCACCCTTGCAGGATCTTCTAAAAGAAAGCTGTAGGTCTTCTAGCATAAATGCTGCTCAACTCGGAAGTTCATTTATTCAACCAAAACTTCTTCAACCCCAAAGAAACTTGAGCTACAGCCATACCATGCTTTTGATCCCAATTCTCCATCCAATGTCGTTCATCATTTTCTTCTGCATCCATCTAGCATGCATTTATAATAGCCTGTTAGTATTCTTATACTAACACCAAATCTCCATCCAGATACTTCAAATGAAAGACTATACAATTCAAGAAAACCTAAATCGAACAAATACTTGAAAAATGAATTTATAAATTCTTCCACTCCCAGCAGCCTAGCAATAGGCTAGACTAAAATCACAAAAAATAATAATAATAATAATAATAATAATAATAAAGGAACTATGAGTTCTTCTCATCAATGAACTAAATGCAAGCTATTGGTTCAATCAGCAATTGTCCCATTAAAGACAAATCAGTTACAATAATGTAGAACTTCTAATTACTTAATAAATAACGATAATTATAATCATCCATCCATAAAATCACCTCAAACTTTCATTATAAGACAGAAGAATCACAGCCATCACTAGAATTAGCTCAAAGACTAAAAATTTAATATGGGGTCTCTTTATCAATGAACTAGATGCAAGCCACCGGTTCAAAATTTTCACTTTCATTCTTCAATAGCAGATTCAGCATTAGAATTACACCAAGCACAGAACTTGGACCCGAAGACTGAAAACACAATATGGGTCTCTATCGATGAACGCAGATTCGGCATTAGAATTACACCAAGCACAGAACTTGGACCCGAAGACTAAAAACACAATATGGGTCTCTATCAATGAACGACACTCAAGCCATGGTTCAAAATGTTTACTTTCTTTCTCCTTTATCATATTCATCATTCATACGATAAATAAATCAATGCAGAATCGAAATACTCCATGAAACAAGATAGAAATAAGCTCATCAATGCACAAAATCACCTCAAACTTTTCACTTGAAGCATGAAGATTGAAAGAAACAAAATCCCAACTTGTAGCTTGAGTTAAAATTGATACCCGGATGCTACTATGATGGATGGGTTTGGGGGGTTATTCTTCTTGGGATTTTGAAGATGAGTGAGAAGACTGTTGAAGAGAGTCAAATTCTTGAGCTTTCTCAAGAAAAGGCTTGAACCCAATCTGAAAGCTCAAATAACCGAACGCCAAGGATCCAATCACCACTATTCCCGCCCTTATTGCATTCGCTTTCGCTCTTTCGTTCATTCTCCTTCTCCCCTCCCTTCTTCCCTCAGCACCCGTCGTCTGCCCTGGTAATTTCCTTCTCGCCTTTTCTGCTTGGTTGTTAGGGTGCTGATAAAACGATGTCGTCAGTTTGCACAAAGGGCAAACTGGACTTCTTACTATCAAGCTTCGTCGTAAACAAAGCCGATCGGTTTGGTTCAATAGGGGCTATGATTATAGCCACTAAATTTGTTTTATCATAAATTTATTTCGGATTTTCAATTAAATATTTAAATTTTTATTAAAATGAAGAAATTTTTAAATTTAGTAATTTTGGTAATTTAGTTATATTTCTTATAATAAATTTAACATTTATTTGTATCTTATTTGTATAGATAAAGTTAGCATTTAACATATAAATAATAATATATCGATACTTTATTCATATAAAAGAGATAAAAATAAGTATTAAATCTACCAAAAAAATACAGTTAAATTATTTATATGATTAAGTTTAAGAATTTATTTATTTTAATAAAAGTTTAAGAATTAAATCGAGAACTTAAAATAAATTTGAAAGCTTAATA